GCATAAACCTATGAACCAGGAGGTCATGGTTTAATTCCTGGTCAGGGCACATGCCCAGGTTTCAGCTAGTGTGCAGGGGGCAGCCAATCAATGATTCTCTCTCATCACTGATGTTTCTATTTCTCCCTCTCCCTTCCTCTCTGAAATCAATAAAAAATATATTTCAGAAAAAAGAATAACAGGAAATTTGAAAATTGTGTCACACCAGGAAATACTGAATGATTAAATAAAACTTTAATGGTGAAATGAGTAACAGATGAGTAAGAAATAGATTACTACACCATCAAGATCTGAAATGTGCATGTGAGTCTTGATAAATTTCCAGGAAAGAAAAATGGCAGGAGACAAAGAGAGCACAGGTCAGCTGGACACTGACCGGCTGAGGGGCAGGGGGACTAGCACAGGGGTAGGAGGCGGGAGAGGAGGGAGTTAGGTACAGAGAGGGGAGGAGGTGATGCTGGCATTCACACTCAAATCAATCAAGCATGTTCTCAGACAGTCAGGTGTGCCAACTGCAGATATAATGCCTGAAAATCACTTTGTATCCGAGTAATACAAAAACTAGCAAACTCTATTTCCCAAAATAGATTCTATGTAAACACGTATCTCATCTGTGTGCTTTTCTTACATTATGACGAAGTAGAGCCTAAGTTCCCTCCTCTGGAATCTGGGCAAAGTCTCGTGACTGTCTGGACCAGTGGAGTGACGGCAGGAGGTCCCCGAACCCCCACATTTAGATTTGTGCCTGGTATGCACTGTCTCATTCGATTCTCACAGAAACCTTGAGACAAGTACTATTGTTACCTCCATTTTACAGATGAGAACATGGAGGCTGAGCATAGTTGCCCCAAATCACACAGCTACAAGCAGCAAGGTAGGAAACTTAACCCAAGTCAGACTTAAACGATACCCTTAAAGATGCCTGTACAAGGTCAGCTGTGTGTTATTTAGTGCAGCAAAGAAAAGGAAAAGTAAATGCCAACAAGGATTTACAAGTAACTTCTGTTATAGCCACACAGTGGAATTTGCTTAAAGCATATTTTGATAATGTATACTAGTACCAAATGAGGAAAGACTGGAATGAAATGCCAGCATTAAGTGTTTCTCTCCAGATAACAGGATTACACGTGATTTTCTCTGTATTCCTCCGTGTTTTCTCATTTTTCTACCTAGAGCAGTGGTCGGCAAACTCATTAGTCAACAGAGCCAAATATCAACAGTACAACGATTGAAATTTCTTTTGAGAGCCAAATTTTTTAAACTTAAACTATATAGGTTATTAACTTAATAATACATTGTTATAAAGGTACATTGTTATTAACTTAACGAGGGTACTCCTAAGCTGGCCTTTGCTAAAAACGTCCTCAATCTGATTGAGGTACGTTCACTGAGGTGGACCCCTTCCAACTCTCCCATCCACACTCGTCTTGTATACTTGTTTCGTCTATCGCCTTTCCGAAAACCGACTTCTGCGCACGGGCCACGAAGTTTCAATTGTACTGTACGTGTGAGCCCGCACGTGGTATTTTGTGGAAGAGCCACACTCAAGGGGCCAAAGAGCCACATGTGGCTCGCCAGCCTCGGTTTGCCAACCACTGACCTAGAGCATGTATCATTTCTTCATAAAAATAAGACTTCAAAACAGTAACTCTCTTCCATCCTATGCTCCCAAAACGGGTTGTACTTTGACAGCCCCTGGCGCCCTCTGCTCTGTGTTTTACAGGTTACTGTACCCCTCCGGCTCCTTGGGAGCAGAGCAACCCAGGGATGCTCACACCGCCCAGCTCCTCACTCTCCTTGGCCAGAGGGAAGGTGCTGTGACGAGAAGGATGTCCCAGAGGGTGGAGGCCTCCAGGCACCTAACAGAACCCAACACCCATTCCTTGTACACACAGGTCAAACCCACAATGGAAGATACTTCTTTCTATTGCTTTATTAAGAAATCTGTGTTTTCTCTATACACCCTGTTATTATAAATTTCCTTACGTAGCTTTCTTGTTATGATTTTGCTTGAATTCATTTTTTTAGAAAGGAAGGAAGGGAAGGGATGAAACGAGCCAGCCAGCCTCTGGTTTTCTCTACAAATTCATCCAAACTTCCCCTCTCGCCATGAGCAGCCCAGGACCCTGGGCCAGGATGGGCAGCACTTGGCTCATTGCCTCGCGGTGGGCTCATTGTTCCCAGTGCCTCAGCTCCCCACAGAGCTTGACAGCAGGTGTTACTCACTGTTTTATCCCTGATCTCTGGCACCGTGCTCAGAACATTGTAAACACTCATGTTTATTGAATTAACAAATGAATTTGACGTTGCTGTACAACTAGAACTCAAAAACAGGCTCCCAGCCCAGGCTGGCCGGTCACCGCCACTCCTCATTCCTGGAGGTTGGGGTGGGACAGAGCAGGAAGGCATGGGCAAGAGGAAAGCTTTGAGACCCAACAATAGGCATGACAGTCTACACAGCACCGTCGGCTGCAGTTTCAGTGATGTCAGCAGCGCTCGGAGGGCGACAGAAAGTGGTGAAGGCCGTGCAGGCCAGGAGGGCTCTCCCTCCAGGCCCCTCCTGCGCATTCTCAGCAGAATTTCCAGTTCCACCAGCTCAACGCCGCCCCTCCCCCTCCCCATTCCCTGGGAAGGTTGGCCTGCCAGCCAGAGCTCCAGGGGCAGGGATCAAACTTCCTGCCAGCCAGCTGCTTCCTCCGGCCCTCCCCCACCTAGGGAACAATCGACAGGAGCCGGACTTTGGACGAAACCCTGCTTATTATCAGGGAGTCACAGGCAGATGAGCTCTGGAGTTTTCAATGCCTGGAAAGTCCCAGTTTGTGTCACTCACATTGCTTCCCACAATGCCCTCAAACCTGGGAATTCTCCCACAGCCGCACTGACAAGTGGGCCTATGGAAAGGAAGCAGGCTTGAGTGTAGATACCTCCCACGTCTCTCCTCAGTGCTAACAAGTGTGAAAAACAGGCTCCATCATTTCTCTTCTACCACATAAACTGGTAGCTTTCAAGCCTGATCGGAGCAGGGGTGTCAGCCATTTCTGTGTCCACAGAGCAGGTCCCCCCCCCCCCCGACTTGGGAGGGGTCCTATGGCCAAGGTAACACCAAGATGAGAAGTTCTCAGGGTGCATTCAGTGAAATGAACAGGATGAAGGACGGACGGGATGTCTACAGTTTGCCTCTTTTTGTGTAAAAAAAGGGAGTAGAAACACATATTTACATATACACGTATCTGTATAACAAAGCCCCGGGGACCCAGGGGCCTGCGGGGAGGTGTGCGGGGAGCAGGAAAGGGGGGCAGTGCCGAGCCTGTCAGGTCATTGTATTCTCCAAGCTCACCCAGGCATTGACCTATTCTAAGTGCACTTCTTAAAAAGAGTTAAAAATCCCGGAAGCTCTAGCCCAAACCAAAACTTGGCTGGCGGCCCCTGGATCACAAAGACTGAGGAGAAACGTCACCCATGAACGTGTCCGGGCCCGAGGGCGTCCCGAGGGAGAGCGCAGGTGCGGACCGCTCACTCCCCGGCTGTTGTCAGTCCCTCGTTTCTAGTTTCAAGGGAACGTTCTTTCCCGGGAGCCCACAGGGGCGGCTACAGTGTGAGGCTGGGCATCGCCCTGAACCGCAAAGCCAGAAGCAACACCCACAAGAATGAGCAGGACCCGCACACCAGCCCCACGGGGTCCCCACACCCGCACAGCGCTCTCGGGGGAGGGGCCCACAGGGCCGGGTCCTCGGCGGCGGGAGCTGCCGCCCGCAGGTGCCCCGCTCGGGGGTGGGCTCCCCGGTCCTCCCCTGGGGAGGGCACGCCCGGGACGGACTTGTGAGCCCCGGGCGACAGGACAGGCCGCTCTCCGGGCCCCTCCCCGGCCCTCGGCCCCATCCAGCGCTTTCACCCTCCAGCCCGAGGGCGCGCACCGCCAACCCGCCTCCGGGGGCCCCGCTGCCAGCCCGGGGGGGGGGGGTGGGGGGGACAGGTCCCTGCGCCGATTCCCAGTCCTCGGCGGCGGGCAGCCCCCCTGCCTTTCCGGGGGGGCTGGGTAAGAACCAGAGAGAGTCCGGGTGAGAGTGCTCCCGGGCGAGCCCGGACCGGCAGCGACCGAACCTGCAACCCAGCGCTGGACCGGGAACGGAACCCGCCGGTCTGGGGCGCCCGCGGCCCCCCACTGGCTGCCGGCCGGGCCCGTGCGCGCACAGACGGGGAGTCGGGGAGACGGGGCCCCGGCCCTAGGTCACCAGGAACGCGAAGCCAAGCCGGACCCGGGGGCGGGAGGCTCCTGCCGCAGCCGCGCCCCGACCATCCCCCTCCGGGTCGGGGCATGAGGCGAAGCAAGCTCTCCCCGCCCCCCCGGACACGGCCTCCAGGACCTTCGTACGTCCGGCGCAGGCCACCTTCCCTGGGGCCGACGGGCCCCCGGCGACACGGGCCCCCGGCGACACGGGCCCGCAGACCGCGCGGGCCGAGGTGCGATGGAGACGGAGGAGGGAGCGCGGGGCTCAGGGCACCGCCGCCCGCCCGGGAGGGCTCCTGACCCAGGTCCTCCCGGGAGCAACTTTGAAAGCATGTTTCCGGAGGAAATTCGGGTTTCAGTTTTATCTCCTCTTCGGGCTCCGCACGCAGACCCTCCAGCAGCCGCCCCGCCACCCGAGGCGGGGAGTCAGAGGCTCTCCGGCCGCCGCCCCCCGCCCCCCGGGAGTCCTGGGGTCCCTTCGGGAGCGGGGCTCGCGGCTGCGGGTCGGGATTGCGGCGGGCCCTTCCCAGGGGCAAGTGGAAGCAGGACCCTCACCTGGGTCAGGGCGGGGGAGGGGAGCCGCCCGCGTCGCACGGAGGGGCGGGGGGGCGGGCGGGGCGTGCGGGGGAGGCAGGGCGCGCCGGGCGTGGCAAAGGCCGCGGAGGGAGAGGCCGGCAGGTTCGGGCCCGTCCCGGCGCGGGCAGGGCCGTGGGGGCGGCGCGCTCCACCTCGGACCCGACCCACCGACCCTTCCCGAAACCCGGGAACTTACACAGGATCACGGACGCGAAGAGAAGCAACTCCTGGCTTCCGACTTTCGTCTTCGAATCCATCACGCTCAGGATCCCGACGCGAAAGCGACCCCGAGCCCGGGACAGACCCAGCCGCGCGCCGAACTTGGGCCCCGGTCGCGCCGCGGCCCGTCCCCCGAGCTGGATTGGCTGGGGCCACGCCCCTTCGCGTTGCGATTGGCAGAGGCAGCCGCCGCTCCGCTGAGTGACTCACCGCCGCCAGGTGCGGCCGCGTCCACGACCACACCCCAGGGGCGGGGCGCCTCCCAGCCGAGGTGCCCGATTGGCCGGGAGCCCGCCGAGCCGGAGACCAGTCCCCTCCTCCCTCAGGTGCGCACCCTGCCCGGGCGGCCTCCGGAAGTGGGGTCTCTGACTGGCTGGGGGCCGGCTGGAGTGCGGGTGGGGAATGCCTGGAAGGGCAGGTGGGAAGCTAGGAGCCGGGCCGGGCTTTGTTTCTTGGTGACGGTTTGTATGGAAATGACGGGGCTATAGGAACCGTGGTCGCTTCCTTAGCAAATGAAAACCGCCTACTATATGCGAGAGGTGGGGCCGAGGACCGGGAGAGCAGTGATACCACCCAAACCCTGCTCCTCCGTGCACCCCTGGCAGCACTCACTTGAGAGCCTGCGCAGACAGAAGAGGGGAAGTGGGGAAAGCAGAATTACATTTTCTCGAGAACTTGAAGCATATATACACCAGATACTCCAAGTAATACCAACTGACCTACAGATCATTCTGTCAATATCACGGACTTGTCCTTGAACGTGTGTGATCTGTCCGAAGAGCCCTGCTTCACTCACAGACCTCTGAGCCAGGAGGCCACCCTGCCATTCCCCACAAGCCGGGGTTGCGGGCTCGGTCCCCAGTGGGGGGCGTGCACGAGGCAATCAATGATTCTCATCATTGATGTTTCTATCTCTCTCCCTCTCCCTTCCTCTCTGAAATCAATAAAAATATATTTTTTTAAATGAGAGCCCTACATTTCAGAATTATTTCCTTATTGGAACCAATAGTTGAAATAGGTTGAGGTTGGGTTTTTTTTTAAGTAATTTGCAGTGACCACTCAGCAATGCTAAGTTGAAACAACCTCAGAACTCTAACTCAGAGCTTTCACTGTTTATATAACTTGCTACCATTTGTGAGTAGCGCTCTCAATTTCTTCCTTTGTAACTCCCCCCCACCCCCCAGGAATCACTAAACACCTCAATACAAATTCAATATTTATTGAGTTCCTCCTATATATCGAGTTCTGGTTTAATTGTTGGTCAAATAAAAACGAAGGGGCAGAGCCTTGTAAATTATAATCCAGTCCAAGTGCTGCCATGGAAGGTGTGCCTTACCCACCATTCTCTTGTTTCTTGCGTCCTGATTATTTTTCTCCTCCTTCAGTTTAAAAGCCCTCTGGATGAGGGCAGCAAATACATTCCTCTAGTTCTTGTGACAATCAGAGGGGTCTCTAAGAGACTGGAAGCTTCCCCACAGGGGAAATGGTGAGTGAAGCCAGGATCAGGAAGGAGGGAGGTCTACTCCAGCCACTGCAGGAGCAGCCTCGGAGCAGGCACTGAAAGGTAAGTTTGGAAAGGCAGGTGGTGCCAGAGCCAGACTGCAGATTGCTCAATGGACCAGGCTCAGCCCTGTGCTGAGTCACTAGGCAACAGAGAGCTATTGTGAATTATTAACTCTGATAAGATAAAAATCTATCCTATACTAATATAAGACAAACATGCAAATTGACTGTACTTTCACTACATCTTAAGCCACGCCCACCGGCCAATCAGAGCGACTATATGCAAATTAACCCAACCAAGATGGCAGCCACAGAGCTGGAGCGAGCAGGAGGCTTGCTTGCTCCAGTGATGGAGGAAGCCAAGCTTCCCCGCCTGCTGCGGCCCGGCTCTGAGTTTCACTGAAAGCAACAAAGTTTCAATTATAGAAGATAAACAAACCCCAGATACCTGCTTTCAGCCAGCCGGCCACGGAGCGAGCAGGAGTGGGTTGCCCCTGGCAATGGAGGAAGCCAAGCTTTCCGCAGACCTCTGCTAAAGGCAACAAAGTTTCAATTATAGAAGGTAAATAAATCCCAGAATAAAAAAAGAAAAAAAGGAGAGGCTGGGAGCTTATGTCGCCAGGGTGTGTGGCCAGCCTGAAAACGGCCCTCAGCCCCTCACCCAGGCTGGCCAAACCTCCATGGGGTGAGGGTCCCCACTGGGGTGGACATCCTCCGAGGGGTCCCACACTGCAAGAGGGCATAGGCTGGGCTGAGGGACCCCCTGAGTGCACAAATTTTTGTGCACTAGGCCTCTAGTCTATATATAAAAGCCTAATATGCTAATTGTCCATCTGACCATTTGACCAGTCGCTATGACACACACTGACCACCAGGGGGCAGACACTCCAACCAGTAGGTTAGTTTGCTGCCGGGATCCGGCTGATGGGGACAGGCAAGATGGGCCAGACACGCCCTGGGTGAATCCACGCATCAGGCCTATTTTGCCCAATCTCTGCAGGCCAGGCCGAGGCACCCCACGGGTGCACGGCCGGGCCTCTAGTGTTATTATAAGATTGCTCAGGCAGTGATGTTTTAGAAAGGCCGAATGAGAGATTCTGAAAGTCGGCAGGCTATTGAGAACTCGTGTTTGAGGCCCCACAGGTCAGGAGATGAAACCAGTCCCCACTTTTGAGGAGCTCACAACATACTGGGAGAGAGAAAAAGTAAGGGAGTAGCTGTGATGACACGGGTATACTGTCAACAAACCTGGGGTAAAGTTTGTTGAGAGGGAGGCGTCTAACGTGGTTTGAAAAGGAAAACAGAAGTCAAGGGAGGACACACAGCTAGTCAGCCTGGCTCCGCAGACTCACCTGATGCAGCTCCAGGGAAAGGGAGAAAACTTCAAAGGGTAAGGTAATTGGTTGGAAAAGCCTATCAAGATTATGAACCAGACCTGGCCGGTTGCTCAGTGGTTAGAGTGCTGGCCCGCAGACTGAGGGGTCGGGGGTTCAATTCTGGTCAAGGACACTAACCAGTCTGAAAAACAAAAGTACTTGGGTATTTGAGGAAAGAGAAACAGACACCTATTTGCCAGACCTGGGCTAGACTCTTTCACCTATTTTGACTGTGTCTCCAGACCTAACCATGTCCAACTATGCTCAGGCGGTACTTTGCTGATTACCCAGCGTGGGACAGCTCTGTGGCCGAGGAAGCGGGAGGTCGGATGAACGACGGTTTTACAGAGTGTGCAGTGTAAGTGGTGAGGTTAAAGGAGAGGAGGGCAGAAGGAAGAAGACAGAAGGGAAGGCAGGAACTATCGGCAAGAATTTCTCCAGAGACTTGATAAATCAGAAAATCGGGTCCATCTCTCACCCAGCTTTCTCTTCCACAAACAAAGGAATAACACTTTAAAAAGTAAAGCGTAGGCCTTGGCCGATGTGGCTCAGGTGGCTGGGTGTCATTCCAATTCCCCGTCAGGGCACATGCCCAGGTTGTAGGCTTGATCCAATGTCTGGCTCTCACAATTGATGTTTCTCTCTCTCTACCTCTTCCTCTCTCTCTAAAAAAAAAACCTTCCAAACTGAAGTCAAAACTCTTCCCTTAATATATTTAAAAGGATACACAGCAGATGATCACCATGCAAGAGGGAAGCTATACACCTGCTCTATAGTGTTGAATTTTGCTTCAGTAAACATTTTCATTATTTTAACAAGTAATATTTTGTTAAATCCAGGGTGGGATTGGAGAACAGCATTGATAAAAAGTGGGACCTGACCCTGGCTGGGTGGCTCAATTGGTTGGAGTGTTGTCCCACATACCAAAAAGGTTTCGGGTTCGATTCCCAGTCAGGGCACATACCTGGGTTGTGGGTTGGATCCCTGGTCAGGGCACATATGGGAGGCAACCAATTGATGTTTTTCTCTCTCTCAAATCAATAAACATATCCACTGGTGAGGAGTAAAAAAAAAAAACACACAAAACACCTGGGACCTGTTTTTGGTGGCACCTATATGTGTTGGATACTTCTGTGGGATGGCATCCCTCCCTCCACCCAGCTGCTGGTACCAGGGACCTGAAGGTCTAGAGCAGCGGTTTTCAACTCATGGCACACATCAACCATTGAGATCCTACAGCACACCAAATATATCCTACTTTTTGCTGATCTGATAAAAAAAAAAAGTATAATTTTGATTCATTCACACCAGACAGCTATTGTTGTGTTGGCTGTTGTCATTTTTTTATTTGACATCTAAGAGAAAAGAGGTCAGTGCCCTGACTAGTCAGGTACTGCATGTGTTAAACATTCTCGCGGCACCCGGTTGAAAATAGCTGGTCTTGCCGAAACCGGTTTGGCTCAGTGGATAGAGTATCGGCCTGGGGACTGAAGGGTCCCAGGTTCGATTCCGGTCAAGGGCATGTACCTGGGTTGCGGGCACATCCTCCGTTGGAGATGTGCAGGAGGCAGCTGATCGATGTTTCTCTCTCATCGATGTTTCTAACTCTCTATCTCTCTCCCTTCCTCTCTGTAAAAAATCAATAAAATATATTTAAAAAAAAAAAAAGCTAACATTTAAAAAAAAAAAAAAAGAAAATAGCTGGTCTAGAGCAAGGGTAGGCAAACTTCCTAGAAAGAACTAAATAGTAAAAAATTTAGGTTTCGAAGGACATTGTTTGTTACAACCATTCTGTTTTTGTACAAAAGCAGCCATAGACAATATCTAAGTGAATGGCCACGGCAGGGAGGCCGTGGGGCTGAGTCTGGGACCTCTAACCTAGAGCAGTGGTTCTCTCCTGACTGCAGAGTGCAATCACTTGCGGGGCTCACTTGGGGGTTCCAGGCCCCACCTCCGAGATTCCAAATCTAGGATTAGGACCCAAGCTTTTTCCCCCCTAGCTCTTAGGTGATTGTGATGTGCATTCTGGACTGAAAACAATTGTTCTAGAAAGAGAACTGTAGTCTTAGGAAATTGCTGGAGGTGGGGGTGAGGGTGGAGTGGGTGGGGAGGCGCGAACACTGAAGAATGACCCAGGGCTGAACTGAGGTCTAAAGATTAGAACTGTTTTCAATAGAACTGAAAATTAAATGCGCCCGATGCTTAAATTAAATGCTCTTTATTTGGTGCTTGCCCTCCCCTCCCAGAGGAGCTCGGGACAGACCGGCCACCTGCCCCGCCCCCGGTCTGGAGCCACTCCCTACAGGCCCGGCGGGCGGGCCTGCTAGGGCCCAGCAGCACCCACCCCCCCACCCTCTGTGGCCAAGCCCCCGGGCCAGCTGCGTGGCCTGCAAGCCCCGCTTTCCCATTTGACAGAAGAAAATGAGGCTCGCATCTCCCAGCCTCGGTTTCTCCGCGGAGTAGAGCCCGGAAGCCCAGGTCCATCCGCAGCTCTTCCCAACTCAGACACCGGCAGGGGGGCCGCTCGGAGGGGGCTGCGCTGGCCACCTCCGCTCAGAGGCGGGGCCTGGAGGACTGGGTCCCCAAGGAGCCCCAAAACAGCACCTGTGGTACCGCCCCCGCCGCGCCGGAACTCAGGACTGAGGGCCGGCAGGGCCGGCCCCCGCCTCGGGGACCCCACCAGGTCACCCGGAGGGGAGGCTGGGGGGCGGGAACTCAGGACCCCACACTGGGCTTCCCGCGCCTCTTAGCCGAGACCCCCTGGGTCCACAACCCGCGGGCGGCCTTGCAAGTCCCGTACCTTGGGTGTGGAGCGCCCGGGGACGGTTCCCGCGGCCGTCCCCCGTCGTGTCGTCAGTCCTCCCCCACCTCCCCCACCAGCATAGAGGTGAAAACCAGCTGAGTTTGGGGCTTATCGTA